TTTTATTTCTTTGTCAGGCAAAAAGCAAAAAAGCAAAGGAATTATGAGGTTTGAAGAACTTTTGACAACATAGGTCACTTTCAGTGCCGTGCTTACGAGAAGAAGAGAAAAAAAACCCTAGCTTGGGGCATCACTGTTCCATATAAAACTGAAAGAGAGACTTGTTTACAAATGTTTTATTTTTGTTATTTACTAATCTCAGCGATGCTTTTGATTTGGTTAAGTAAGACATATTTACAAAGGTTTTGTTTTTGTTGTTTATTAGTCTAATGAATGCTTTTGTTTTGGTTTGTAAAATCTAATCAATACGTTTTTTCATTCATTCTTGTCTGTTTTTATGAATTCATTTAGAACTATTATTTAACTATATATATTAATAGTTTTACAAATATATAAAAAGGTATATAAAATAGTATACAATACGTGTAGATTTTGTATATAAATCATTATATAGCTTTTGGTTATTTTTATTAAAATTGCATTTTTACTATTACTATAAAAGTTATATTTTTTTTTGCTTCGGGCAGCAAAAACTCTAAAAACGGCTCTAATCACTTTGACTAGTTAAACACGGAAAAAATAACTTTTATATTAAGATTGTGACAAATCAAACGTAGATAGATATGTTCTTGAGGTCATTTACGATTTTGATTCTTCTTTCTCTTAGGTTTCGGTGGAGGATGAAGCGAGAAGAACAACTGAACAAGCGAAAGTGCTAGAAGAAACTAGAGGACGTTAAGACAAATATGGCGTTAGATCAAAATCTAGTTTTCTATTATGCTTATTTGCATCCTTCGGGACACTGACTATCTAAGCATTTTTAGGATTGTCAACGAATGTATTTTTCTGCTAATCATAGCTTTCATGAGAAAATTGTTTGATAAAAAGAATATTTTCGAATTGCTAACTGCAGTTTAAAATTACCTAAATATACTCAGTGTTGAGAATTAAGGTGAATGTAAGGAGTGATGGTGATTTGACAAAAGAAGGATGTAATATAAAATTTTCTTTTTATGTTTGGAGTGAGTACGAGAGAGAGTTCTTATTATTTTCTTGATGCATTCCAAACAAAAGAGAGTGACCCTTATTTATAGGAGAGACAAGAAGGGACACGTATGTTTAGGTATCAACATAAAGTGACACCTACAAAGATGATAATGACTAATACTTTACACGTGTAGATCAAAAAGGAGAATTAATATTTAACATTCCCCCTTGATTATCCATTTTGTATTACGTAATGCCTCGCTAAAATCTTAATCATGAAAAAATTCATTGGACTAAAACCCATGAAAAAGGAAAAAGAGTATATTGACGTAATCTCCCCTTGAACATAATGGACATAGTTTTTTCTTCATAAGTCACCCAAATGTCGCATTTCGATACCGTAGACTTGTTTTCGGAACGTCGTAGTAGGGACCTTTGTAAACAAATCTGCGGGATTGTCGCATGACCGTACATATTCTATGTCCACTTCTTTATTTTTCTCGAGCTGTCGTATGTATGAGGAAAATCTTGGAGGCATGTACTTTGTCCTATCGCTCTTGATATAACCTTCTTTAAATTGAGCAACACATGCCGAATTGTCTTCGAACATTTTTGTCGGCTCTTTCTTATCAATTATTCCACTTGCTTCTTGTATGTGGTAACTCATTGATCTAAGCCACACACATTCTCGACAAGCTTCGTGAAGTGCAATGGTTTCTGCATAATTCGAAGATGTTGCAACCAGAGTTTGCTTCTGCGAATGCCAAGAGATCGCTGTCCCACCAATTGTGAAAACATAGCCGGTTTGCGAACGAGCTTTATGAGGATCTGATAAGTATCCTGCATCTACAAAACCAACCATACCAAACTCGGGTTTTCTAAAATACATTAACCCTAGGTCAATTGTACCTTGAAGGTAACGGAATATGTGTTTAATTTCGTTCCAATGTCTATGAGTAGGAGCCGAACTATATCTTGCAAGAAGATTAGTGGCAAAGGAATATCAGGTCTGGTACAGTTCGCTAAATACAACAACCCACTGATAGCACTCATGTAAGGTACTTCTGGACCTAACATCTTTTCGCTATCTTCACAGGGTCTAAAAGGATCTCTCTCAACATCGAGAGTCCTACCAACCATTGAAGTACTCAAAGGAGTTGCTTTGTCCATACGAAAGTGTTTCAATAACCTTTTCGTATAATTTGATTGATGCACAAATATACCTTCTCGGAGATGCTCAATCTGGAGCCCAAGAAAAAACTTTGTCTTTCCGATTCATTTCGAACTCTTCTTTCATATGAGTTCGTGCATCATCAACCTCCTTTTGAGTTCCAATAATATTCAGGTCATCAACATATACAACAATGATCACAAAGCCAGAAGACGATTTCTTTATAAAAACGCATGGACATATCGAATTATTCGCATATCCTTTTCTCAAGAGATATTCACTTAAGAGATTGTACCACATGCGCCCGGACTGATTTAATTCGTAAAGTGATCGCTGTAACTTGACCGAACAAATCTCCCTGGGTTTCTCTTTCAATGCTTCTGGCATTTTTAATCCTTCAGGGAGTTTCATGTATATATCATTATCCAATGATCCGTACAAGTATGCAGTTACAACGTCCATAAGATGCATTTCATGCTTCTTTGACGCTGTAAGGCTCATCAAAAATCTAAACGTTATTGCAACCATCACCAGGGAATACGTTTCCTCAAAAACAATTCCGGGTCTCCGAGAAAAACCTTGAGCTACTAATCGGGCTTCATATTGTGTTATTTCATTCTTTTCATTTACTTTTCTCACGAATACCCACTTATACCCGACATGATTTACATTCTCAGGCGTTATGACCATAGGTCCAAAGACATTTCTTTTATTTAGGGAGAGTAATTCAATTTCAATGGCCTTCTTCCACTCCTCCCAATCATGTCTTTTCATACATTCTAAAATGGACCTTGGATCAGGATCATCACTCGTGATCTATTTCTTTGGACATAGAAAAGGAGAACATTCCATCAACATCTTTTATTTTATTTCTGATCCATAACTTTTCATCTTGGGCGTAGTTGATGGAAATCTCATACTTTTTTGTTCCCTCCTCGTCATCTGGATCCTTATCTTTATTTGGTTCTTCTTGAACCTTTTTATCTATGCCTTCTTTCAGACATCTTTCAGTATCAGGTTCTTCTAGAACCTTTCCTTTTTGCTCAACCAATTTCTTTTTCTTTCGGGAATTTTTATCTTTAGAACCCACAGGTTTCCCCCTCTTTAACTGAGCCCTAGGCTCATTCATTGTATCTCCATCAGTTTGTTCTCCAGGAACAACAACTCTTGATGGAACATTTTCAGCGAGTATATATGATTTCGTCACCCTTCTCGTATCTGTGAACGCATCTGGTAACTGGTTTGCCAAATTATGCAAATGCACAATTTTCTGAACTTCCACCTCTCTTTGATTTGTAGGGGGATCAAGGTGTAACAACGATGGTGTACACCAAGTAATCTCTTTAGGAATTTTTCTAATTCCTCCCCCTAACGCTGGAAATTCTTCTTCATTAAAATGACAATCGACAAATCGTGCCGTAAACATATCACCAGTTACTGGTTCCAGATATCTTATTATACTTGGTGACACATAACCCACATATACTCCTAATCTCCTCTGTGGGCCCATTTTTGTCCTTTGTGGTGGAGCTATTGGAACATAGACCGCACACCCAAAGAAACGGAGATGGGATACATCTGGCTCATGCCCAGATGCCAATTGTAATAGGGAGTACTTATGATATGCACTTGGTCTTAACCGAATCAGTGCATCCGCATGCAAAATAGCATGACCCCATACTGAAATTGGGAGCTTTGTCCTCAAGATCAACGGCCTTGCAATCAACTGCAACCGCTTTATTAATGACTCGGCCATGCCATTCTGTGTATGAACATGGGGCACTGGATGCTCTACATCAATCCCCACTGACATACAATAATCATTAAAGGCTTGCGATGTAAATTCACCAGCATTATCAAGCCTTACTTTCTTAATGACATATCCTCAGAACTGCGTTCTCAGCCTTATTATTTGGGCAATGAACTTTTCGAAAGCTGTATTTCATGTTGTCAAAAGACACACATTTGACCATCTATTAGATGCGTCAATCAATACCATGAAATACTTAAACGGCCCGCGCGATGGGTGGATCGGCCCACATATATCACCATGTATTCTTTCTAAACACATTGGTGATTCGTTGCCTACTTTTGCTGGTGATGGCCGAGTTATAAGTTTTCCTTGAGAACATGCTTTACATGTAAACTCGCCCGTCTGCAAAATTCTTCCATTTTTCAATGGATGGCCATTTGAATTTTGCACTATTTTTCTCATCATGACTGAACATGATGTCCTAGCCTCTCATGCCAGATTTTAAATGTATCAGTAAACTTCATGTTTACCACGGCATAGGACTCAGTCATGTGTATTCTTGTATAATATAGTCCAGAGGATAACATTTTTAATTCTTCTAATATATGTTTCCCCTCAGACTTAATGCAAAGAAATTCAACGCCATCTTTACACATAGTCTCAATATGGTATCCATTTCTTCGGATATCCTTGAAACTTAACAAGTTTCTATTAGACTTGGGGGAGTATAATGCATTACTTATTTCAAATATTGTCCCCCTTGGCATTGAAAATTTCACTCTACCAGAGGCCATTATTATCTTTGCATTATCAGATATTGTACTTACGCTTCCAGCGTAATCTTTTATTTTGAGACTGGAGAAATATTTCTTATCTTTGATTATCGTGTGCGTCGTAGCACTATCTGCCAAACACATATCTC